CCCCCCCCCTCCCCCGCCGCAACGACCGTTATAGGTGCATGGCAGCGACTGCTTGAAGCCATGTCTTGGTAGCCCATTGGTTTTCTTCTTTTGCTGGTTCCAGGTTGCCCTTAGAGTAACCAACCCCAAAAGCCTAAACCCTGAAGGCCTTTCACCCTTGTTATAAGAGGGTTACGTGGCTACCAAGATATTTGGAGGCTTGGGGGGGGGGGGGGCTTAAGCCCTCAAGCCTCCCAACCTCAGCTGCATGAACCATGAACCCCGAAGGAGGCCTTCTGGGTCTTTAGGTTCAGGGTTTAGGGTTTAGGGTTTAGGGTTTACTGTCGGGGTTTGCGGGTTTATGGGTCTTGGATTGAGACCTCAGTTTTCTGACCCTGCTCTATGAACACATGCAGGCCTGCATATGAAGTAGGGTTATATTCTTCGTATCGCTCAAAGGACACCCTCTATGCACACTCATAAAGATTGACCAGGAACGCCAAATATACTGTTTCATACGTTGATTGTAACTGGAGCTCCTATATTGGGCTGTTAGGGCTTGGGGCTTTTGAGGGGATGGTGCGGGTAATTATGTAGCCTCCTGTAGCATCCCGATCCTGCCAGCGGCCCAGTTTTAAAGTCGGGGGGCCCTAAGCCCTAGCTCACCTACTCAAAACCCTGAACCCTAAACCCTAAACCCTAAGCCCTATCTCACCTACTCAAAACCACCAAGGTGGATGACATCCTTCGCACGGGCAACGATATCATGGTCGCCGGCTACTGCATGTGCTCCTTCCTGTTTTTCATTGGGACTCTGCCTCGGACACACATATACATACCCTTCTGTGGTGCACCCTAAACCCTAAACCCTAAATAGGGGTCGGAATAATTGCTAATATTGCTCCCTTATTGTCCCTTCGCAACTACACCATAATAGCTCCCCAAGACCCTAGTTTATGAATCTTCAGGCCCATAAACTAGGTGGTCTTGAACACGTGGGGCGCCCCAAGCCCTGAACCCTAAGCCCTATAGGGTTTAGGGTTTAGGGTTTAAGGGTGAACCTACTTCCCCCGAAGTAAGCTCAGCCAGCCGGCTTTCGAAGGAGAGAATTCGGCACGCCATTTTGTTGGTTTTAAGGTGCGGGCTTCCTCTAGGCAAGTCCTTGTGGGGGCACTGTTGGGCAGTTAACCCTAAACCCCAAACCCCAAACCCTAATCCCCGAACCCTAAGCCCTAAACCCTAAATTTTAAATTTGCAAGGCTTGGAAACACGCGACCTACAACCCGCTGCCTTCAAAGGGTTTGGGCGGGGGGGGGGGGTTCCTAGGCCACTCTAGGCGTAACCCCTTTGATTCAATGGAATCCTATGAACTGTGTTTTTGCCCCCTTTGTAGTGGGATTGAGAATTTTGTTAGTGACTATTTGTCGGGGGGTGTTGAGGCTGTTACGGCACAAAAACCTACTGGTTCTTAGTCGGGAATATATGGGAAGAAGGTACCCTGTATAATCCCTTGAACGGTAGTCTAGGAGGACATATATATGTACATACGTATATAGAAGTGTATATATATTTTTTTATTTATCTATAAAAATATAGATATTCCCTACTACCACTGCCCTCTCAGGGATTGCATAGGGTCCCTATAATCCCCCTCATTCCCTTCCACGAGTTTCAGAAGATGAACGAGCGCAGGTACGGAGCTGCTACAGAGCTTGTGATCACATTCAAAGGTGCCCGGCAGCATGTCTGGGGCGCTCGCTTTAGTGGAGAGTTTAGGGTTTTGGGTTTTGGGTTTAGTGGGTTTTGGGTTTAGGGTTGAAGGTTTAGGGTTTACGGTTTGGGTTGAAGGTTTAGGGTTTAGGGTTTAGCGTTTAGCGTTGAGGGCTTACGGTTGAGGGGGATTTAGGGTGCTTAGGGTGCTGGGGGTTAGTTGTTTAGGGTTGGTCGGTTGGCCACCCTGGACTCTAAACCCTTTTTTGCGCCCGCGTTCCGCGTAATCGACCCCCCCCCCCCCCCCCCCCCCATGGTCCCCCCCCCCCTGGTAACCCTCCTGCCTGGCAACTCTAAAAACACCACTGACCACGGGGGGGGGGGGGGGACAGAGAAGCCTCAGCCTAAACCCCAAACCGAACCCTAAGCCCTAAAACTTAAAACCCACCAATGAACGACAGGAGGGAGAAGGGTAAACCCGAAACCTTTGCCGCTTTAACCCTGAACCCGTAAACCCAGCACGAACCACAGGGGGGAGATGGGAAACCGTAAACCTACCATTCCCCAAACCTTGAACCCTAATCAAACTCTAAACCCACAGTGAACCAATGGACCAGAGTGAAAATCCTGAACCCGACAGCCTAACCCTAAACCCCTAAATCCTACACCCATGAACCACAGACCATGAACCAAGGGGGGGGGAGGGGAACCCAAAACCCACCATGAACCACAGGGGGGGAGGGGGGGGGATACCATTGGGGGGGGGGGGGGGGCATATAAACCCTAACAAGCTCAAGGCTGACAAGCAAAA